AATCATGCATGCCCATGACTCTATCATCACGGCTCGTGTCAAACAAACTCGACTAGCAAACAATAGGAGAAAGGAAACCCTGTTTGTAAAGGGTGACCTGGTATATCTGTCCACTGCCAATCTGACACTTCCTAAGGGTCGTGCTAGGAAACTCGCCCCTAAATTTATCGGCCCCTTCTGCATACTAGAGGACTACCACAACAACACCTTCTTGTTGGATATTCCCACGGAACTCAAACAATGTGGAGTACACCCAGCATTTCACATGAGCTTACTGCATATCCACGTGCCAAACGATGACTGACGATTTCCAGGTCGCCAGCTCCCACAGATAGTCAGTCTGGGCAAAGTCGAAGAGCTCTCAGTAAAGCACATAAACAACCACCATGGTCAAGGCCCAGACATGTTGTTCGAAGTAGCATACACGAGTGGGGATTCCATCTGGCTACCCTACCCGGAAGTGGAACGACTCAAAGCCCTGACACACTACCTCGAGGCACAGGGTGCCTCATCCATCAATGACCTCCCGAGGCAGGTGAACCATCCCAACAAAGAGTTCACTTTATCTGGCACCTGGTATGATGAGGCCATTCGTTGCACATGCATGCTTGACCTGATTGATGGTGTAGTAACCAGTGTTCCTTTCACGACATCAAACCAAGTTATGCCTGCTCACCAGAGCATCTCCTCGGGTTCTAACCCTCGCAAGAAAATATATAAAGGACAGCGAAGGCTCACATGATTCAGTCACTTGTAAGCCTAAAAGTGGGTCATCCGATGTGTACATTTTGTCCTGAAACTGGGACTAACCGACATTGGCCGGTGGTCCCTAGGGGTGGGTAGGCCGGACTGTGAAGGTGGGGTCGGCTGACCTGGCTGGAGGGCAGACCCACTGCCTGAAAGTGGGGTTGGCTGACCCAGCTGGAGGGTGGACCCACCTCCTGGAAGTGGGGTCGGCTGACCCGGCTGAAGGGCAGACCCACTGCCTGAAAGTGGGGTCAGCTGACCTGGCTGGAGGGTGGACCCACTGCCTGAAAGTGGGGTCAACCGACCTGGCTGGAGGGTGGACCCCCTGCCTGAAAGTGGGGTCAGCCAACCTGGCTGGAGGGCAGACCCACCTCCTGGAAGTGGGGTCGGCCAACATGATTGGAGGATGGACCCACCTCCTGGAAGTGGGGTCTGACATGATGTTGTCATGACATCATTGTGGCTGTGTACCCCATGCCATCACTTTCCCACCATCAAAGCGGAGTTTGAATTTCTCATTGATGTGACTGTGTTTATTATGTACACAGCTGTATTCAGCCCAACAAATGGCACCTGATGGTATTAAATATCAATATGCTTACCTAATTAGATGCAGCGGAGTTTCAATCTGATTCTGTCATGACATCATTGTGGCTGTGTACCCCTTACCATCACTATCCCACCCTCAAAGTGGAGTTTGAATTTCTCATTGATGTGGCTGTGTTTATTATGTACACAGCTGTATTCAGCCCAACAAATGGCCCCTGATGGTATTAATATCAGTATGCTTATGTAATCACTTGGGGCAGAGTTTCAATCTAATTTTGTCATGACATCATTGTGGCTGTGTACCCCTTACCATCACTATCCCACCCTCAAAGCAGAGTTTGAATTTCTCATTGATGTGGCTGTGTTGACATATGCACAGCTGTATTCAGCTTCACAAATGGCCCCTGATGGTATTATTATCAGTATGCTTATGTAATTAGTTGTGGCAGGGTTTCATTACAAATTTGACATGACATCATTGTAGCTGTGTTTTCATTACCAATTAACTACTGGTCCGCTTTTGTGATTACATAAAAGTAATGTTGTGCTGTGCAGTGTGCCATCAGCATGTCACGTGACATGCTTCGCTGCACATGCTGCGACCAGTGGCTGATGACTAAACAGCAGCAAACAGAAAATTTTATAAAAGATGCACTTCAACACACCGCTCTTCATCTTTCTCTCTCCCATGTTCCTCTTACCACTCCCTTGATGCTGGACTTCACCTATGTAGACTGCAGCTGCATGGGTTTAAGGTATGTCTTGTAGTATCCTGTTGTTGTCCTGCAGCCCACTGTGTGCCTGGCCAGCACACTATGGGTGTGTAGGTTACTGATACTATCTTCCTGTGGGTTCTGGGGGTTTAGTCTGTGCCTGCTTTTGCAGGCCAGCTGGGGTTCTGGGGGGTTACATAGTCTGTACCTGCTAGTGCAGGCCAGCTTAGGACTTTTTCATTGTGGGACCTGGGGGCTTAGTCTGTGCCTGCTAATGCAGGCCAGCTTTGTGGGTTCTGGGGGATTTATAGTCTGTGCCTGCCAGTGCAGGCCAGCTTCTGACTGACATCTGTATTATCTTTGTACTAGTCTTTTAAATACCTTATTTTCTCTAGAGATCTCAGTGTCTTTCTGGGGAGGGGCCCCTCCAGGATGCCTGAGGTCTCAGTTCCACTTGGAACATTTGCTCTGTAACTTAGTCCTGTATTTTTCTTGGCTGTGTATTTGCTCAATCCTGTATTTTCTTGGCTGTGTATTTGCTCAATCCTGTATTTTCTGGGCTGTGTATTTGGTTGGTCATTCCTGTATTTCCTTGGCTGTGTATTTGGTTGGTCAATCCTTGTAGTTGCTAGGCTGTGTAACATGAATTGCTCCCATGCTGCTTGATTTTTTGAAGTTGTGTAACCCTAACCCTAACCCTAGCAAAGGACATGCACTAGGCAAAGTAGAAATCCCACCACCCCAGTGATTGAGTCAAAGGGGAAACCTGAGGGTCAGATAAGAGTGAAATCTAAGGGATCCATACCACATGGGGTGGGGGTGAGGTTGTGTGTAAGTAGTAGGCAAATGGGTATGGCATAGGCCAAAGACTTGGGACCCAAGACCAAGGTAATCAATCCATTGGTCTAAGCTCATGTCCAATCCATTGGGTCTAACCTTTACCATACTGGACCATACCTGTCAGTCTTTGGATTACTGGCAATTGGGATCTTTGTATTGGCTGTGCATACCTACATTGTAGCCTGCATTGCTTGTTGGTAGTACATACATATGTTGGTAACTCATGTGGTAGATACCTCAGTTTGAATAAAAACTGTAATACCTCTATAGGTCTTCTTTATCAGCCTTCTGTCAGGACTTGTACAAGAACACTGCTACATAACATGTCAACTACAGAGCAGGTCCACTTTGTGTTCAGTACCATTTGATCAACTTCATAACATCTCAGCTGTAATGTCCCACCCTTGGTACTGCATTGGTACTTGTCAGTGAACATCAGCAGATCCCTAGAGCTTTATACCCCCCTTGGGTGAGAGGATCAGTTCTAACCTGATAAGAGACTTTAAAAGAAAACAAGCAGATAGACAACTAAGTGCAGAATGTTAGATTAGGATCAAACATGAAGCATGGAGACATGGAAAGAGACTGTCAAGATTGGTTGCTCCTAGGGACAAAGGGGGGGGGGGGGGGGGTTCCACAACACTTAGTGATGAATGCTGATGTAGTACTGGCTACTGGCAGGCACAACCAAAAGGTGCCTAGTGGTGAAGGGAGACCTGCTGAAAGGCCAAAAAGCAAGTAATGTGGAGGGGGCTTACTCTGTACATTGCCATGCTATCTTGCAATGCCCTCATACAAGTTTTCACAGAAAGCTGAAGGTACCAAAATTGAACCTCTTATTGGTATGGGTATGTGCATCTCCCAGTGAGGTCAGCCAACTCCACTTGCAGGAGGTGGGTGCATCCTCCAAACAGGTTGGCTGACCCCACTTCCAGGCAGTGGGTCTACCCTCCAAACAGGTCAGCCTACCCCACTTCCAGGCAGTGGGTCTACCCTCCAAACAGGTCAGCCTACCCCACTTCCAGGAGGTGGGTCCATCCTCCAAACAGGTCGGCCAACCCCACTTTCAGGCAGTGGGTCTACCCTCCAAACAGGTCAGCCTACCCCACTTCCAGGAGGTGGGTCCACCCTCCAGCCAGGTCGGCTGAACCCACTTTCAGGCAGTGGGACCATCCTCCAAACAGGTTGGCTGACCCCACTTTCAGGCAGTGGGTCTACCCTCCAGCCAGGTCAGCTGACCCCACTTCTAGGCAGTGGGTCTGCCCTCCAGCCAGGTCAGCCAAACCCACTTTCAGGCAGTGGGTCTGCCCTCCAGCCAGGTCGGCTGACCCCACTTTCAGGCACTGGGTCCAACCTCCAGCCAGGTTGGCCGACCCCACTTTCAGGCATTGGGTCCAACCTCCAGCTAGGTCAGCCGACCCCACTTTCAGGCACTGTGTCTGCCCTCCAGCTAGGTCGGCCAATCCCACTTCCAGGCACTGGGTCCAACCTCCAGCCAGGTTGGCCAACCCACTTCCAGGCAGTGGGTCCAACCTCCAGCCAGGTTGGCTGACCCCACTTTCAGGCAGTGGGTCCACCCTCCAGCCAGGTCAGCTGACCCCACTTTCAGGCACTGGGTCTGCCCTCCAGCCAGGTCAGCTGACCCCACTTTCAGGCACTGGGTCCAACCTCCAGCCAGGTCAGCCAAACCCACTTCTAGGCAGTGGGACCATCCTCCAAACAGGTTGGCCAACCCCACCTCCAGCCAGGTCGGCCAACCCCACTTTCAGGCACTGGGTCTGCCCTCCAGCCAGGTTGGCTGACCCCACTTCCAGGAGGTGGGTGCACCCTCCAAACAGGTCGGCCAACCCCACTTCCAGGGACTGGGACCACCCTCCAAACAGGTTGGCCAAACCCACTTCTAGGCAGTGGGACCATCCTCCAAACAGGTTGGCCAACCCCACTTCCACACACTGGCCTACCCACCTTTGGGCACCATTGGCCGACATCAGTTAGTCCCACTTTTAGGACAAAATGTACATGTTGGATGACCCACTTTCAGGCCTACAGGTGACTGAAGGGTCTGGAAGGCTCTCAACCACCCAGTACCAGGTCCACACCAGAATGCCATGCCCTGTATTCTGACCACTCCAGCTTGAACAATTTCGGGTCATGGCTGAGGCCATCTGTGCTGGAACTTTTGATCTCACCAGGGACCGTCTCCCTGCTGGATATGTCACCTTTTGCGAGACTAATGCTGAACACCCAGACCCGGCATTTCGTTACCCACTACCAGATGGGTTCGTTCGCTAGCCCCTTCGTCCTCGGGGACATGGAGCAATCAGTCACCGAGACCGCCGCAACAGAGGGAACTCCCTCTCTGGGATGATCTTCGATTGGTTCAAAGCTGACACCAGAGCTCATAAGAAAACACCCGAAATGGTATCTAGATCACGAACTAAACGCAGGATAGAAACCAGCGCCACTACAACTGTACGTGCTAACAGCGGGCCATGAAGAAAACACCTGCGGAATGTCCACACTACCCCTCACAAGGGCGACAATACCCACGACGTGACAATGCGATTCACTCCCTACCAACGACCTGCCATCTGCCAAGGCTTGACACAACTTCACCCCACTCCTGCTATTGGCATTCAGCATATCATCCTGGGCACGACAGTCTGCAGAGAGGGACGCAGCGAGAGCGCCACCAACCCCACTACTGCAGTTCGTAAGGAGCCTGGAACCCTGGACGAACTGCTCGACACAATCATCAATGCTGAACCTGTTCCCACAGGTGGTGATGCTAGCACTGGTCTCAGTCCGGGTACGAAATTCATCATTATCCTACTGCTCTATCTCATCCTCACGAACTCGATCTTAGTCGTCTCGAGTGTGACCATTTGATCTCCTCAGAAGATCAGGAGGGCGGATGCAACGACCTGCACTCCCACGGATATGACAACGGAACCAAGTACAATATGTCAGCCTTGATACTTCCTCTTTAGTACAGTCCTTTGTGTACGTAGGTATATAAAGACTCATGTAGTAGGTAGGAGGGAGCAGTTTTTATCGAGAGACCCTTGGCCAGTTCTGACGAACGACGCTTGAGACCTTTCGACGGAAACACTCTTACTAGTGTGACCAAGTCCTGCAACCGTCACATTAGCCATCACAGAGAACTGTCAGTGGGGCCGTCTCAGCCTCTCTGACTGCTGGTACGCACCCATCATCACCGCTGGCAAGCCTGATATCACAACTTATCCTGGAGTTCAGAGGGAAAAAAGAGCTGGATGCATCGCTGACTTGTTCACGGCACCCAATATACAGGCTACAGGTCCCTCAAGCTATCGATACGGATCAGTCTACGCATCCAAAATCACATTGTGTTCATCAAGATCAGGACGTCGACGAAGATTTGGCAGTGCAGCATCACGAGTTTAGTAATGATCGATTGATCCCTCATGATTATATGTCTCCACACAGGTTCCGGTGTTTTCCTCTGCGGAAGTCACGCACGGGGCAAGTGTTGGCAGAAAGGTGTTAAGGAAGGTGCGGTGAGTCTTGGCATGTAGATATCCGATCCAGCGCATGTGTCAATGCCCTCTGCCCCACGCTCTGTCAATCTTTGGGCGTCTCCTTATCCTTGCACTCGCTGATACCCTCAAACCTCCACCTCCTCTCCACAGAATCCGAACCCTGCCCAAAAAACATGCGATGATAAGGGTAATACACATCTGGGTCGCACCCTTTGTCACTAACAGCAGGCTTGTCCACATGTGCACGACCCTAACGAGATGGGAGAGGTATGATGTTATACCACAGACGGCGATATCATCCGACGAGCATCTCCATCTATCAATGGGCACATCAGTTTGGGCGCTTCATCGCACACACCAGCAGTAAAAAATGTTCTTTCCTGTCCCGCATTCGGTGGATATAATGATGACGTCCAGTGATCTTTGATGTATCATCGATTGTGGTGGACCCTCATTTAGTGCATGGCGTGTGTCCTAGGAATGAGTATATGATGCCCAACCATCGATTTTGGGCGTTGGTTCTTCCCAGTTTCTGCAATATGCAATTCGTGGTCTAAATCACCGCCACTCAGTTTATGCGAGGAGATACTTATTCCTCTGATCATGCTTCTGATGGCTTTTGATAAACCATATGGAGGTCGCAGATTCCATTAATGGAATGCCTCAACGCTGTGATCGTTTGGGAAGGGTGTCAATCGATTATCTCGAGGATGCAAATTCAAGCCGGCCCTTTTGCCGTGTTCCAAGCCTCTCCTGAAGGTGATATTCTGGCACTGTTTGAAAATGTGTATCATTACGGAAAGCCCAGGACCCCACTCCAAGTTCTGGCCATTTAGGGCCGACCTATATATGCAGCAGCACTGAGGCCATACCGCAGTTTTCTTTGCAGCGGACCACCTGTACGTGCAGTACACAAAACTGTCACTTGGTGAGCTGCTTACCGCTAGCGCTAACCCTTCGTTAGATGGTCAGCACTCTACACCATTCTCGCAGATGGTAGGGTATCGGCTTGAATAATTCACCTGCCAATCCTATCTCACCCCGGTTTTACCCCAGTCTACACCAATACCTTCCTTTCAACATAGGTTTAACAAGTCCCCTACCCCTCTCCACTCTGCTGACAAAAATCTCTGTACCCATCATTACAGACTGAACCACCGCACTCCCCACATCGAACACCACATCACGCAAGGACTGGTGCTCTCCACTTTCATTGCACGAGCGGCCATGTCAAACCTTGCGACGCGAGTCACTACTCGTCATTCCTGTCATTGACTTTGTTTTCCAGGTTACATCGAGTATTCCTTCTACACCATCCTCGGGACGACATAAACATAAACCAAATGGCCTCTTGCCTGGAGAGTGTAGACAAGTACATTATCTATAGTTCAGACAAAAGACCCCCCAATTGCATGTTGTAGTAACAATTCATGATACAGCTGTTTCGGGGAAGGTTTGCTGTGAGAGAAAAACTTCAAAATTGCTGCCACCACCCAGTAACCTACTGGTCAGCTCAGAATTGACATAGCTTGTGAACTATGCAAGCTATCAACAAAATTCCAGTAGATCTAGCTTCCTGGGAGGTAGGTGCGGGGCACCATACCAATTTTTTGGAATTTCACCATTTTGTTCTCACAGTCAAAATTCACCCCCTTCCAGGGTGAAAATTCAATCTCCTGCACCAAGCATCATAATCCCTGCATGCAGCACACCCATTTCAGCAATGTCTAGCCAAGACAGAGGGTGCTATACCTGTCTGGACATGCTGTGAGGCAAACTCATCAAAGAGGACCTTGGATGGGTGATCATGCACATGTACTATGTGTGCCATCTCTTACCAGCTGAAATCAGTCATTTAACTTTGTTATCTGTGCATGCAATCTGTAACCTTTTGGAGCATCACTGTCAAACAGGCTGTGTCAAATCTAATCAACAAAAGGCTTGAGAGGGTATTCTGAGTGATGATGAAATTTAGGTTAGTCATTTACACTGTCAATAGTGTGACTTAAAGTTGCCAGAGGTTTGGCCGTGGAGTCAGGTGTTTGTTGGGTGTTTGATGTGAGTTTTCAGCTGAGAATGGCAGAATTCAAACTCTGACCACTCTCTGTTTCACTCTCCTTGCTTGTCATCAACAGCCTGTCATCCATGGAGTCCAATTCCTCTGGTCCCCCCCCAGCAGTGCAACCCTTCAAATTGGCAACAAAAGTGGCAGTCCCTTGAGTTCTCTGGGAGAAATCCTATGTTGTGCAGACTGATTGTCTTATTGAGTGGTGCAGGACCCATGAAACAGAATGAAAGAAGCTCTTTTTGGACTCTACACAAGATGCTTGGGAGGAAGGTAGGAGTAAGCAGCAATTGTGACATGGGAAGGGTGCCATCTATGTTGAGATTACAAAGGTGATCTTCTCAGTCAGTGATGAGACACCTGATTTCAGGTCCTTGCTCAAGACAATCCATCTGTCTTCACTGCTCCTATCCACAGTTGACTTGACATGTACATGCTTTTTTCTGAAATAAAAAAACTACCATTTAAAAATTTTACAGCTTAAAAACTAAGTATCAAAAACAGAATGTGCTACTTGGGCAGACAGGTGCTGGATGTACCTATGAGGATCTGGTAGACAGCAGCAGCATGAAAAATATCATTGGTATGCAGACTTTTTTTCACATTTGTTGCTTTACTAATCATTATCAGCAATGATCAAGAAAGAATTTCCATGGTGGGGGGAATTGCATGGCTGGTGGTGCTGAACCCTGCCTACAATAGCACCTGGAGTGCAGCTGATAGTGGGCAGGATTTTGCAAGGCATGTGGTTGAGCTGTTCAAGCTGCAGCCAGACCCATTAGGTGGAGGTCCCAGTTTTTCCTTGGCAGGTGTGCCAAATTCATCTGAGCTTGAAGAAGGCAAAATAGGAGAGGGTAGCAGTACTACTGACATTTTTTTTGCAGAAGATTCAATGAGTGTGGATGTTGAGACACCATCACTTACCATCCAATCACCCCCCCATTCTGTTCTGAGCAGGGGTCATCATCATCTGCTTCCCCACTGCTCCCCCCTTCAGACTGTCATCACTATCTGCTGCCACCTTGCCTGCACTATTTTTTCTGAGTCAATGTCAGCCTCCCTGTCCCCCCCATTTTTTTCTCAAAAGCCCACACCATCACCCCTTCCTCCTGTTGCATCTGAGTGCTTGTCACTTGCCTCATTGCTGTCCTCCATGCCTGGGTCACCTGCCATCCTGTCCCCCCACCCCTCTGTTTTTAACAAGTGCAATCCTATCAGCTTGAATGATGATCCCCCCTTCCTGTTCATATCCCCCCATCCAAGACTCCAGCCCATGCATCCATCCCTTGAACAGGACCAAGCCCTTCTTAAACCCAGGTCATCATCCACCCCAAATATGGACAACTCTTCTGATTCTGACATCACATCCTCCAACATGTTTTCTATGCTCCATTTCTCATCCTCATCCCCTGCAACTACCACTCTGCTCTCAGATGACAGTGATTCAAAGCTGTTGTCAAAGTCATCCTGCAAGCATGCTCATGAAATGCCTGCTGACCTACTCTCCTTGAATCTTGCATCAGCCTCCATGAGCTTCATACAGCAGTTCCAATGGCGCAACAAGAAAGGTCAGAGGTGAAATGACACCATCTCCAGTATGGCTACTGGAAGGAGAATGAGAAGGCCAACACCCACCTGACTGAACATCAGCACCAGCTCATGATACAGTGTGAGCAGTATGCCCATGAGGAGGCCATGGCAGCTCAGGAGCTGGAGAAGATGAAACTTGTGGTGAAGTTGGAAGAGCTTTGGGGGCAGAACCTAGCCCTGCAGAGGGGTGTAGCTGGTGGTGAGGACCAAGGCCCTTTGTTGACTAATGAAGATGGTCATGAACTCAACAACAGTCTATGACCACATTCTTATCATCATCTAGTATGTATCCCCCCTTCCCCCCTGCTTATATACATGCTGTGCAACATATCCCCCCCCTCCCCCTATATATGCACACTACATGGTCATGTAGTAGCTAGGCATATAATATGTTGTCATTCCCACTGCACTGAGTTTGAGAAAACAAGATATGCTAGATATCTCTAAAGTGTTTTCAGTGGAGTTTGAATTTCCAATCAGAGCTTTAATAGCATTGTCTATCTCTCTACCATTTCTGCACCACACACACTTTTCTGCAGAACTTTAATATAAAGTTGGAGCTTAAATGTTTAACCTGCAAACTTGCCAAACTCACAACTCAACCTCACTTGAGCTTGCTCATGTGTTTCAACTTTGAGTGACCCTAATGTAGGCTAGTTGTTAGCTAGCCTCAGTTTATTGAAGGGTGTTTAGAGCACTCTCCAGATGCATACCTGGGTGAGCTTCAGGTACAAGAAGCTATGGGATGTCATGTATTGAGGATGACAATCTATGGTGCATTGAGGAAACTAAACTACAAGAATGTAAGTAAAGCTTATTGGTTAATCAAGAATGGTCCCTGAAGCTTGAAGTTCCATTTAGCTCTTGAAAACTGTGCTGGTGTTGGAGTTTGACATATTTACCTTAGTTGCATTCCAGTGAGCACAGGATTACATAATCGAAAAAGCATACACTTTGCAGTTACTTATTTACCAGCACCTCAGCTTCAACCAACTTGAAGTCTGAGAATAATCCTTCCTTTCAGTCCAGTACTTGACTCCCTCTGCAATTCATCAACCTTCAAATGGTTATGAGCCCTGCTTGCAAGTTCTAATCCTAGGAATAATGAACACATCAAGTCTGGTACAGGAGTAACTACTATGTTGAACCCATCTGCATCTATGACTGGGCTTTTGAAAGCACCAGCCTCTGCCTCAACTACACCCTCTACTACATCTTCAGGCAAGGCTACCCATGCCTCAAGTTGGCTCTATGATGTGCCATACCTTGAAGACAATGGTTCAAATTTCCAGACATGGAAATACAGAATCATGATGATCCTTGATGTCTGAGGACTCTGGGAACTTGTAGAAGGGATGTTGAAGGCACCAGATCCAGTGGCAGACCCAGCTGCATATGCAGACTGGCTATATAGGGATAAGGAAGCAAGGGCTCAAATTATGCTCACTCTAAAAGACAAACCACTCAGTGGTGTACTGCATGCCTCAACAGCAGCAGAAGTCTGGAAGAAATTATGCAAGTGCTATGAAGGCAAAGGGAAGCAAACCATAGCTTGCCTCATAGGCAAACTATTTTGTGGCACACTAGTGGATGACACCTTGATGGAAACACAGCTTAATGCTATGTGGCAGAAGGTGACAATACTAAAGTTCCTTGGCCAACCTCTTGAAGACTCCCTGGTTGCCATAGCCATGGTAATATCACTACCAGCTTGTACTTGACCCTTCACACCATTCTCATGTCATCTAATGACAAACTAACTCCAGATTTGGTCATTTCCCAAGTCTTGGTAGAAGAAAGGTCTTGTCATACCTCTTCAGCTCAAACTGCTCTTGTAGCAAAGACACCCAACAAAAAGGGTAGACAAAATGACAAGAAGAAGAAGTCCTGTGGCTACTGCAAGAAGGCTAGCCATGTTGAAAGTGACTGCTACAAGAAGAAGGCTGATGAGACAGCCAAGACCCCTTTGCAGGCTAAAAAGGATAAGCCTCAAGAGGACAATCTCATAGCAAAGGTTGCACATGTCTCACCTAATGATGATGTGCTTCATCTCTTCATGGCCTTGCACCATAGCAAGAATCTACACATGTGCTGGGTCATTGACTCCAGTGCCTCTGTGAATATGTGTTGTCAGCAGAAGTGGTTTACTTTGCTCAAAGCAATCTCACCTCTGCAGCCAGTAATCATCAGTAATGGCAGCACAATCACTGCCACAGCGATTGGATGTGTCAAACTTTGAATGGAACTCCCTAATGGGAGGACAGGCTGGATCTTACTTCAGAAGGTCTACTATGTTCCAGACCTGAGCACAAATCTCCTTTCTGTGGCATATCTTGCCAGCAAGAATGTCTGGGTCACCTTCACAGGTGAAATGTGCTCAATCACTGAAGGTACAGACACTGTGGGCATAGGTCATCATCAAGGCTTGCTTTATATTCTCACAGCAAAGACTCACTCTTTAAGTCATGGTGCACTCATCATACCAGGCCCATCTCTGCTACTCAACCCTACTCTCGAGTTCTCAGCTCTCACTTCTGCAGCCTCAAAGTCTGTAGCTACACTCAACATATGGCATCGATGACTTGGGCATGCAAACACAAAATATGTGCTTAAGTTAGCCAGTAGGGGAATGGTTGAAGAGATGGAACTTACCAGCCCAATGGAGTCCTCAAGCTCAGTCTGTCAGCCTTGTCTTGAAGGCATGCAACACCACAGTGTCATGCTGACCAGGTCCAATGTCAAGAGCCCAACTGTCCACTATAGGACATACTTGGATGTATGCAGTCCCATGGAGACTACAGCCCATACAGGGCATTGGTACTTCATAACCTTCATTGATGTGCACTGGCATCACCTCATAGTAAAGCTAATCAAAACTAAAGACAAGGTCCTCCCTTCACTGAAAGACTACTTTGCACAAGCTGAAATTGAAACTGGTGAACAACCAAACTTCCTCAGAAGTGGAGGTGGAGAATATGGCTCAGATCAATTCAAAACCTACCTTAAGTCAAAGGGAGTCCATCATGAGAAGACCAATGCCTATACTCCACAAGAGAATGATGTTGCAGAGCAGATGAACCGTACACTTGTAGAAAGTGCATGAGTGATGCTACAGGATGCAAGGCTTCCAAATAAATATTGGGGAGATGCTATACAGTATGCCACCTACCTTATCAATTGAACACCAACCCATGCCATCACTGAGGATCTTACTCTGAGTGAGGCCTTTACAGGCATCAAACCTTCTATAGCACATGTCAGGGTGTTCGGCTGCATTGCACACATTCACATACCTGAGGAGAAGAGGAAGAAGCTGGATGCAAAATTGTTAGAATGCATACACCTTGGCTTTGCAGAGAACAGGAAGGCATACCTGTGTCTGCATCGACCTACTGGTCACATCTTCAAATCTTGAGATGTGGTGTTTGACCAAGGAAGTACAGGAGGCCTAGAACATGTCCATATAGAAGAAGACCCCTCAGGCATTACCAATAAGCTGATGGACTTGTGGAGAAATGCCAGAGCCAGTGAAACACTGCACCTGGATGCAGTAGCAGCATCAGGCATCAAGCTTACAGAAATCTATAGCAAGATCTCAGTCGAGTGCGCAAGCAGCAAACGTCTGTATTCACATTACCTATAGCAAGATCTAAGGTAATGACGTGAGTGCGAAGTACATGAACATGGGAACAAGACACTATACCCACCTCAGTCGAGTGCGCAAGCAGCAAATGTCTGAGGTGGTGTTACTACAGTAACGAGTTAAATACACTATACAAAACAAAAGGGTGAGACACAGGTGTTGAACCCGGTATTGAAACTACAAGCACGGTCATAGCGCGAGTGCTTGTACCGTTAATTATACATATGAAACATTTGGAGACAATAAACCAAAAATTACCGCACTGTATTGTCAGCGCTCGAAACAACTAAGTACAGTGGTCTTGTAGACCCGTAAACAGGAAGTGTTTCCCATGGTAAGGAAAAGTAGCATCAATTAGTGAACGAAGGCTATGAGCGACTTGCCAAATCTAACACTCCCCCTCAAGTTGGGCATAGGTCGAGTTCAACTGCGAAATGTTTCACCTTCGGAGATGGTAGCGCCTTCGTTAGTGTATCGGCGATCATGTCTGCAGTCGGGCAATATATGAGGCAAATTTTGCTGTTTTCTACGACCCAGTGAATGAAGTGAAAACGGATATCAATGTGTTTGGTGCATGCGTGATACTGATGGTCTTTAGTGAGCGCGATGGCTGATTGATTATCAGAAAACAATGTGGTCGGCTCGACGAATGGCTGAAAAAGCTCTCCAATGAGTGACCAAAGCCACAAGGCCTCCTTGGCCGTGTGTGTGGCTGCCATGTACTCGCTCTCAGTTGTTGAGAGTGAGACGATTTCCTGTCTTTTAGAAGACCATGACACCGCTCCGCTGTCTATTAGAAAAGCGTACCCTGAGACCACTCTGCAGTCTTCTGCCATGCTGCCATCTGCATCTGCGTACCCGGTCAATGCACTTGGTGATCCCCCATACATGAGTTGTAAGCCTTTTGTCCCCAGAAGGTACCGATAAATTCTCTTTACAGCTTCCCAATGAGCAACTCCAGGGTTGCCCGAGAAACGTGAGACAGTCATTATGGCATATGAGATGTCAGGACAAGTGGCAAGGGAGGCATACATGAGCGATCCTACAGCTTCACGATAGGGTATGTGGCGCATCATAGCAAATTCAGCACCAGTTGATGGCGACTGCCCAGAATGCAGTTTGGTACTGGGTTCCATCAGGTTCGACATGGGCTTGAGCTCATCGAAGCCAAAGCGTTGTATGATGGACTCGATGTAGGGGCATTGGCACAGGGAGATGGTACATTTGTCTCTATTTCTGGTTACTTCAATGCCAAGCAGCCAGTGAAGTTCCCCAAGGTTGGTAATCTCAATGTATTTTCTGACGTTGTGCTTAAGCTCCTCTATCTCGTTTAGGGATGTTGTGGCAATGGTGCAATCATCGACATGGACGACAATGATGACAAGCTCACTGGTGGTGTGTCATCTGAAATAGATGGCCTGGTTGACCAAGCACTGGGTAAGGCCCAGCTCATCAACGAGGATCTCCACTAATCTTTGGTACCAGCGATGGCCACTCTGCTTCAAACCATACAATGTCTTTCGGAGGCGACAGACTTTATTGGGGTGATTGGTGGATTCAAAGCCTGGGGGCTGTTGCATGTGGATTACTTCGTCATTGGTAAGTGTACTGTTCAGGT